GGTTGTATCTTGTTTCTCAGTTGTAAAAACAATCTATAGGGATTTTATTGCTGCCAACTATCTCCTTACAGAATGATATGAGGACAACCTATGCTCCTTTCAAATACTTGCAACTTTCAAGCGCACCTCTCCATCTGTTCTTCCTGCATCTCATATCTGCTCAAAAAAGGCCAAGGAGGAAATGTTTATTCTCAACACACATTTGTCTCCTTATTGATCGAAGAGTTTTCTGAGATTTCTGCCTCATCTATTTATTTTGTGTCCATCTTTCTTATCCAGGTGAACTGGGTGTCCAAAGAGTGGGCAAAGAGAGCAGCACTTCCCTCTCATGTTGTCACCATGTTGGATAATTTCCCCACAAATCTGCACCCCATGTCCCAGTTCAGCGCTGCCATTACAGCTCTGAACAGTGAGAGCAGCTTTGCACGGGCCTACTCTGAGGGAGTCCACAAGTCCAAGTACTGGGAGGTGAGTTTACACCCATACCTTTTTTGAAAAATATGGACTAACAGAATTTTTTTTGCTCAAGAGACTGAATCACTTTAGACACAAGAACACTTTCAGTTTGGTTTCATGTGGTCTTTTCTTGTTGTGTAATTTATCTATTTTTTTTTTTTTTAAGTTTATCTATGAAGATTCTATGGACTTGATTGCCAAGCTCCCCTGCATTGCTGCCAAGATCTACCGTAACCTGAACCGTGAAGGCAGCAGTATCGGAGCTATCGACTCCAACCTCGACTGGTCCCACAACTTCACCAACATGCTGGGCTACAGTGATCCCCAGTTCACTGAGCTTATGAGGCTCTACCTCACTATCCACAGGTGCAACTTAAGATGCCTTTTTACATAAAACAAGTTGGATTTAATCTTTTTTTTTTTTTTTTCTAGTAACACTTGAATCAAAGTCTTGCCTTTTTAATCTAAGAATTAGAGATGTTAAGTGAGATGTCGAAAAGATGAGAATGAAACTCGCAAACCTATCTGGAGTTAGACAGCATGACGTTATGTCACTACTTGGTTTGATTGATTACTGATGAGGATGACTTGGCCAAGTGTGAGGGAATTTAAAGGTTTTTTTTTTTTTTCTTCATCATCTGACCATCAAAACTAACCAAACTATTACAAACAGAAGCAGTAGTTCTCAGGTATAACACAGCCTGAGGTACCTACCTACAGGTTTCCTAAAGTGACCTTAAATTTATTTAGCATGACCTTTTTCTTTTTTTTTTTTTCTCAAGCTTAGTTGAATTCGTTGCTTAATCCAGGTGGAAGGAGCTGCAAATGTAATGACTGTTTCTCCAATTTGAATATGGACAGAAGCAAAAACTCTTCCCAGACTTTTTGATTGATGTAGGTCAGTTAAGTAAGATGGGAGCCGACTGAGAATAGTATTGTAAATAGGAATATATATATATAGTAGTGTAGTCTACAACACAGTGTTGGGTGTAATGCGTTACTAAAGTAACGAGTTACTGTAATTAAATTACTTTTACACTGAAAAAGTAGAGTAACTGATTACTGTTCATTTTTAGGTATTTTAATCACAGTTACTTACAATGTACTTGCGTTACATTGTAAAATAATTAAACTCGCTGAATATCATTATTTAATTTCAATAATTTATCTTCTAAACGTAGAAGTAAACTCTGCCGCTTTAACATCGCTGTAGTGCAGGTGCACGTCATTTCGCGCCAGTTTGCTGCATAGTCGCTTCACTTTTCTGAAACAAGCAGACAAGAACATTACAGTAATATGTAAGCTATGTCCTGGGGAGAAAAAAACTATCGGCCGTTGTTAATAGCACGAGTAATCTACTGAAGCGCCTGACACGAGAGCATAGACGAACACTTCTGAGTGATCCTTGTTCATCATCCATGGATAACACCACGGCAACTCCTGCTAAGCAGGCAAAACTTGATTTTACTTCAGCAGCACAGAAAGCGTCTGAAGGTGAGCTTAAAAAATGATTGCAGGCTACATTGTGGAAGAGATGCTAC